CATTTCACAGAAAGAAAGAAATATTTTTATAAAAATGTTTCTAACAAATATTAAATATTAAATATTAAATATTAAATATAAATATTTTAATAAGACGGTAACAATCAATATTTTTAACATTAATAAGAAAAGACAAATAAGATATCTAGCATCAAGAATTCATTTAATAATTTCGACAAATCAATACTCATTTAGAAATTAATTTTCCACAAATAAGTTTTCTTTGTATTTTTCTTAAATAAATTGAAATGTGTTACGAACAGTTATCGCAGTAATACGAGCTATCTCTCGGGATTCACTCCCGGGGGTAATCTCAGTCGGGAACTTGAAAATCCCCTGGGGGAGTTGAAAGCCTCCAAGGCTCTAACTTACCAGCGTAACGAGCAGTGCACTGAGCACACCGATCACGGTGGCAGCCGTCATTTGATGCAGGAATTGCGTGGTCATGACGACCTCGTAAATTGGCGACGTGCCACTGTCGAAGGGTAACTCCATTTTGAGAAAAAGTTCACGATCGGCAGCGTCGATGACGTCGTCGCTGCGCAGGGCGATGACGCCAATGCCATAGAACAGCACGGCCGTTGAGTGTAAGCCGATGATCAAATTGGAGAAACGATGCGAGAGATTGGCCACGTTATTCATGCTGTATAAGGCATCCCCGCATTCCTTCCAGTCCGTTGCGATGCTCGCTAACACGTCGTTGAATATTCTAGGAAGAATCGATTTCGTGCAGCACCGCGAGAACGAAGTTCCCCCCTCGAAAACTATGATTAGGACACTATTTGTCTCTATGCGATGATGAATGACGAAGAGAGTAGGTCGAAAGATGAGAAGATGGATATCGATATCATTGTTGCTAATAATGATATTCCTCAATGTAATAACGATTACGAAAGATAGTGAAGGAGGAAAATTATTTGTAAATTGTTGAGATAATGTATCATGAAAAAGAAAAAATATATTATTTGTCAAAATAATAACTTCTAATGTGCTCGCAAAGTTTTCTTATTGTAAAAAAACAAGTCTCACTAGTTCTATAACCTTTTGAAACGATTTAATGATAATTACGGATGCATACGAGCTTCGTATTAACAAACATTTGTTCGATTTGCACGATCGCGAAGTGCAAGTCATGGACTGCAAGTAGCGACGATGCGGACGTACCGTTGTTTTGTCCAGAAAACAATCAACTTGACACATAATAAACTGTATGACAGCGTCGCGCTTAAACCATCCATCAGCTGTGAAATGTCCTCGGAATTAAGATGCATCGCCATGTGGCGATACTGAAAGATCTGTGCGACTATCATCGTCGTGGTCCAGAAAAGTCGACTGATGATCGCGTAGGTCGCGCCTGGCCAGATGCCGACTATCCGAAGTCCGATCTCGATCGATCGGGTAATTGTATTAGCAGACATCATTTGACGAAACTTCTAATTCTCGATCAATCGTGAACACTTTATGACATAATCAATAAAGCGAGGCTAAAATACGTAGGCCATGCATGTTCTTCTTTTGAAAATCTCTTTCTTTAAAGGAAGCGAGAGATACTTGTTGTATATACTTTCTTAAAGTGTAATATCAGAGATTTTGTCGGTTTACGGAAAATAATTATATATAAATATAATTAATTATCAAGAACAGAAAGAGAATGTTTGAGATGCCGGCACGTTATCAATCAACGAGGATTAATAAAATGAATCCACAACGTTCACAATTAACCAAAACGCGTGCGGAAGGTACAATAGCGTTGAACACGATTGTAAAATAGATTTATGAACGATAGAGGCACGAGACATGCACCTATAGACGCTGCGGATGGACTGAAGGATGCCGGAGGATTACTTGCCACGAAACCTACCTTCGTCCACCGTCGACCGAGCAGGGGACAGCTCATTAAATATTTTCATCGCTCTGTGTACAATAAAGTTGTGGTAACGCGTGTCGTTGACGATCGCCGATTTTGCGGATGGAAGGGAAACCGAGGGACGCGTCCTTCCGTCCTATGCGCCGAACGATACGGTGCCGTGCAATTTTCGTTAAAAATGTACGACCACGCAGGACGGAGGTCGATGTACACCGGTCCGGTTTATAATGTTATAGTACATCGAAAAATCATGCGCATTGATCTAAAGAAAGACAAAGAAGTTTCCGATGGGTCGGAAAAGAAGGAAAGATCGTGGGATTCATGGAAATCGAGAAAACCATGGCAATCTCTTTTATATCAAGATGCCATACTGCAACTTAGAGATAGTTCATATAGTTCGATATTATTCTGTAATTTATTTTATTGCTAAATAAGTTATTTTAAACAGACTTGAAATATGTATTTGAAGAATTATATATTGTGTTATACGCTTATCTAATTAATGAATTTATATATTATTGAATATATAATCTGTTTTCGACAGATTTGGCTATCTGGGTATTTTAGTATTTATCAGTTGAAAGGCAAAGAGATAGAATTGTGACGCTCATCTCATCGCCAATAATATCGATAAATACGATCCCGTAGCATTTACGACCTATAACAACGCGTCAGAATTTAATATATTTATTATTATACACTCAAGCTGTAGTATTGTAAGAATATAATATTCAATAAATATAATAGTCTACAGCAGACCTGTTTAATTTGAGCTCCGGAGCCAAAACGCAAAGCCATCGATGCAAAAAAATTTAATGTGAGTAAGATTTCGGGGACTGTAAAGTTTTGATACGCATTTGAGTGACGCTTATTAACACTTTACAGTCCCCGAAATCTTGCTCAAATTGGACAGGCCTGATCTACAACATCTAACAATAAGTAATCAGAAGAGCTATGTAAATAAATATAAACCTCTAGAAGATATATAATTACAGTAAATGTGTATATATAATCAGATGGTTATCTCATATACTGTGCACGAATCTTACTTTTGTAAAATGCTGTAACGAAAGATCCATTATTTTCCCAATTGTGAGCATCAGATATTGCGATCTCAGTGTCGCAAATAATAAAATATGATTATATTTAGGTTTTAAATCATACGCAGTGGATCCAACAGTTTTACTCTGCAAAGGTAAAAATAATAAAGAAATTTATATTATTATTTATCATTCTTAGTGATAGTTAATTAAAAAAAGAATAAGTAAATTGAACTATTGAACTATTGAAGAATAATAGTATATTTGTATTAATTATTTGTATACTTGTAATTCACCAAAGATAACAGTAAACTATTTATGAAATCAAAAGCACAGAAAGGACCCAAGATATATATCACTTCTGTGATTAACACAAGCATATTTTAAACAATGTAAATTTGGAAATTAATTAAATCCCCAAAAAATTTGAATAAATAAACCAGTTCTAGGAATAAGAAGAAAAGTTAATCCATATCTTATAACAAACATGAATTGTATATTTATATAAAAGGAACTTCCATTTTTTATGTGAGGCAGTTCGGTCGTTTGATCGATGATCTCAACATCTGCCAGCATGATGCTCATGCCGTAAGAAAAACCGACCATTGTGTGAAAAATCACGAACGTGTTGATGATCTAATTCGATGATTTTGCCTTGCTTGATGTCTTATACAACTCAACATTATTGTCAGCGCAATCATTTCAATCTTCGTTGTCAATGTTTTGTTGAATATTCTATGTCATATAAAATATGATATGTTATGAATTTAATGATTTCTTAATCCTTGGATTGTAAAGCAGTACAAAATTTTAATTTCCCATCTCTTTTTACTTTTCGAAATCAAACGACGATGCAAAAAGAAAAAAAGGAGCATTCGAAAAATACAAATGAAATAACATTCACTCTTAATAAATATTCAAAAATTTTAAACATACAGTACATGAATCAATAAATTGATTAAATAAAAAAATAACAAATGTAAGTATACAGTTCTATCAAAATATATTTGCGTATCATTCTAAATTTGTAGCAATGAAATTTCACTGCATTGAATTGAAATTTCAATATAGGCATTAGTGACAATTGCGTCAATATTACTGCCAATGAATTCTGCAAGATGGAAATGGAAAATCTATTTGATAATTAGAGTGAAAAATTTACTCTAAAAAGGAGTGAATTTAGAAGTAAAATAATGACAGAATAATGTCATTCCAAATCCAAATAACAAAGCCTATGGAGATTTTGAACAGAGCATGATATCATTCTATTAATTATTATTATTTTATTTTTAATTATTTTATTTTGTCTCTTATGTTTATGGGTCTCAAGATGCGTCTTGCCCGTAACGATCATAATGACAAACGATGCGCTATGTCGCTAAATTCACTCCTTACAGTAACATTCAATGCATCTTGCAATGCAGTATCAACTAATGCTTAAACCACTTCAATTAATCGAATGAAATAGTCCACTCCTTTATGTAAGAGTAGAGAGATTAACTTCAAAGCAGTGAAAATCCATACTTAAAATAATGACTTTGCTCACTTTTGTGTTAGCAATAAAATTTTCATTGTTACAGATTTAGAATGATATTATTTTATTAATTGCACTGCATTTGTTACTACTCATTTAATCAAAAGAGAATAAATTTGATAATTAATTTCAAGTATGTCAAAAAGCTACTGTAACAATCCATCGAATCAAATATATCGTTGGAATTATAATATTTTGAGAGATATTGGTAGTGCCAAAATTGAATGATTGTTATTGTGATAAAGCAAAATGATCTACACAATGTAACGCACGAAAAGTCTAGCCACATATCAAACAAGATAAGCATAAATTTTCTCGCAATTAATTTTACTCTTACGATTCATAATGTCATATTTATTCTTATTGTTAATCATATACGTAAATTAGTGCATCAATATTATATATATATATATATATATATATATAATATACTTGCATCAATATATACATATACACATATGATAACCAAGAATACGTTAAAAAAAAAAATAAAAAAATATGGTTTCGTTAAATGTATATTTTCTGTTCACAACTTGATGTTGTATCAGCAAATATCATTGAAGAGTGGGAGGTCGTAAGAGGTCATCACACAAGCATCTCTAAGCCAACAGCCAATAGAAGTTGCTCATTAAATATTTTCATCGTACAGTGACCACAAATGCAACGCCGCTACTCCTCCTCACTTTGATAAAAGAAAGGTACAGATAGAATTATTTCTCCCTCTTTCGTGCACTGGTGATCGCAAAATGTTTGCCTTAAATATATAACAATACAAACGGACATATAGGCGGGACGACGTATGTGCGATGGCAAATCGAGTTTGGAGGGGATCTTTTGAAAAGTTTTTAAAATCTAGAGGATGAAGAGACTTTGACGAAGAAACAGGAAACTGAGTTGCGCGATGCTACGAGATGTGTATGTTTTTTTGTGTACGTAATATCTGAATGTTGGTGTAGCGATATTTGCGAGAGATTAATTAAAAACCTATGGATATCGACTGATAAATATAAAAGTTTATTATGGGATAAAACTGGGGTATGTTATGTATGTCGCACGATATCGTATAAAATCATTTAACAGTCAATACTAAAGAGATATCTATTTATTTGAGAAATATTGATTTGCTTTGCCTAACTTTAACTATGTATACATTACATCTCAGAATTTCAGATCGCAGTTTAAAATTCGCATCATGCTTTCTAAATTATTTCAAATATTTTGGGAAAATAAATTTGCATTGCGTGTGGTTTTGAACTAACGTAATTTGCACGTTACTGTGTGTTTTACAAGTACTAGCTGAGAAGATCGACGAGACGGACGTGACGTTTATTGCATTGCCAACATCACTGATAAATACGATCCCGAAGCATTCATGATCTATAACAGTGTCACTTTGTTTTACAAGTAAAAACTATCTTTATACATAATTATAAATTTGTAACGGATATCAAATGATCACAAGCACATTTTAAACAATGTCGCAAATTTTGAAATTTAAACGCCAAAAATTTGAATAAGTGAGGCAGATCTAAGAATAAGAAAAGTTAATATAATACATATCTTATAATATATATATATATATACGTATATATAAAATATTTATTATATGCAGGGTATCCGGCAACAGGAGGGGAAGAAAATTTAAAAAGTGATTCTAAAGATGATCAAATAAAACGAAAATCAAGAACAATTCAAGATTATGATTTTAGCTTTGTTTCTTAATTACAAACGTTTAAATATTTACGTAAAGGTGTCTAAAGCATGTGGATATTTAAACATTTATATTTAAAAGATAATTCACCACGATTTTGTTATTCTCAATTTCTTTTTATTTTATCATCTAAAATTATTTCTCAAATTTTTTCGCACTTGTTAATTACTGTATATCCGAATAATATGCAAAATTAATTTATATGCTACGAATAATTCTTACACTTGTAAAATATTCTAATGAGAGATCAGCCATTTTTCCAACAGTGAGCGTTAATTGCTTTTGTGATCTTAATATTATAAATGATAAGATACGGCTATCCTTAGATTTCAAGTTATACCATGCGGTATTATATGCTGCATTTCCAATCGCTTTACTCTAAGATAGAAATAATGGAAATGTTTTTCACATTTTGTAAAAATTATTTTAGTCTAATGATAACTTTTTTTTTAAATATTTTAATATAAAATTTAGCATCATTTGTAATCATTATTATATAAGTCATTTTATAGCTAACCTTGTTGTTCAGATATTCTCCAGCAAAGCAAAATACAAACGCTTCTAGATTTGTTCCAGCGAAAAAGAAAACAGATCTTACTATCTGCTCCACTGCATCGGGTGTACCAATTGCCTATACACGAAAAAAATCGTTATCTTGTTATGCAATTATGTTGAAAATATAATGAAAATAGCCTTTATTTACATATTTGAGTTAATATAAAATATAAGGAAATTAATCAAAATAATCGTGTGCTTATTAGTTGCGACAAACAGTAATTATTAGTACATAATATTTTAACTTCCATATTTTACTCACGCTTACGATGATAAACGCTAATGAACAAATCAATATCGAGTTAACCATAAACATCACCAATGCAATGTACGTGAACAGTTTTTCTACATTCTTTGAAAAATTAATAATTTTCTGATGTCTCTGAATGATTTCATCTGTTGTGATTGATTGGTGTTTCTTTTCATTTCCCTTAGTTGCGAAATTCATCAAACAGTAACACAGAATATTCATTTGACCACCTACATGTAAAACCTGAAAATACAACAAATCCGCTGTTTATACTAAAATTATATAAATATAAATCTCATTCTTTTTTATAACCCAGATAAACAAGCGTGTCTCAGAAAAATCGCGTAAATCTGTGATTGCTTATAATGCTGACAACTTGCTGTATATTCGTCAATTTGTTCAAATATACCGACAATAACCCAGACAATACGCAGACAATACGCAGCAATAACGTATATATGTATTGCCAGCGATTTAATGGCAGTTTAGTAGCATTACCTCATCAGTAATATGATTGCATTACATGATGTTATAGATTAATATAGAATATCATAGCAACATAACCGCAACAGCCTAAATTTTGATAATGAAAATTTTTAAGTTGTCGGCAAGTTGCTACTTAAAATTGTCAAAATCGTGAAGGCATTAACTTGCCAACAAATGCAGACTCAGTTGCTGCAATTTGGGTAGTAATACATATTTATTTACAAGCAATATGCCAGCAATAAATTACTATTTAGAAAAAAAATCCTTCATATTTCTCGAATTTACGTTTTATATAAAAAGTAGTCTACAATAGGAATAAAATAGCATAATTTATAAGTTGTAAGAAATTAACTAATCATATCGAATGTGAAGAAAATAATCGACTACAGTTGATTAATTTCTTACAGCTTACGGTTTATTACACAATATTATTCTCTGTTGTAGACAGAGAAAATATACAGAACATAAGAGAAATTCCTTGAAACAGCAATTATTTATACACACAAGCTCTGATTTCAATATTGTTAGATGATTTGTTTCTTTTATTTAATATCGTTACAACTATTTCGTTCGCGATAATTGTTTATGTTTCTTAACTTACCAATGCGACAAGTAAAGTATTTATAACACCTGTACCCATGCTGACCATGATACAAATTACAGTTTGCGTAAATAAGATTATTTTGTAAGTTCTTTTTGTGTTCACGTCAAAAGGAAGTTCCATTCTGTGGATGTATAACAACTCGGATGTGTGATCAGTGACATCAACATCAGCCAAGATGATATTTACGCAATATGTAAAAGCACTGACTAACTGGAGAAGTACTATCACGATATTAATGTGATTCGACAGTTTCGCTTTGCGTATCATTTCATTCATGTAGATTTCATTGTCGGCACAACTATCCCAGTCTTCCGTCATCATTTCCAAAGTTTTGTAGAATTTTCTGTGGATGATTTGGTTCGTCGATTATCCTATCGATCACAAAAAAGATAATTCAAGGCCTTAAAAAATTGTTATCTCCCAAATGTTACTAGACAGTTCTAATAATATGCTTCAACTTTTTCGAATCAGCTTCCACGCTTTTTACATTTTTTTTAATTAAATAAAAATGCGAAGTGATATTAAACACGTGTATATACATGTATTAAACGCAACCATATCTTTGAATGTAATTTGATTAATTAAGACAAAATGTGATTTAATTAATTAACACAAAATGTAATTGATTAAATCATTTAATTATAGCTTTTCTTTCATCACGTTAATTATTTAAAAATACATCACATGTCACTTAACTGTCATTTGATTATAAGCAATTTATATTATTATTTATGTCATTATTTATGTCAATCATTATACTTACCGTTGGTTTATCCAAAGCACAATAACTTTAGTCGTGAATTTCATATATGACATACAGCTACTCAAACAATCCATCAAATTGAAAAGTTCATCGGAATTAAAATGTATCAAAAAATAACGATAATGATAGAATTGCACAATTATTGTTATAATAATCCAAAATAGTTTGCAAAACGGAATACGTGAATTTGGCCATATTCCGTACAAAGTGCAAATAATTTCTAGCGTGCGATCAATAATTCTTTTACGAATCATTATATTCTGTTTACTTCTTTTTCTATGCGAGGGCAAGCACAAAAAATATATTGAATAAAAATACTTTAAACGAAGCAAAAGGAAATACAATTTGATTATGTACTTCTGTCAGATGTACGTTTCGATGGATTGACGTACATCATACAATTGTTGCGTACGTAAACACTAAAAGGGCGTCCCTAAAAGATCATCACACGAATTTACCCTTGAACTGTCGATCAATGGAAATAGCTTATTAAATATTTTTATCATATTTCCTGTAAACTATACCATACATCTGTTGTAGGTTCTGACAATTTTAATAAAAAAGAGGAAATAGGTGGGGTCATTTCTCTCTTTCTCCGAGAACCGCAAATTGCTATCTTTAAATAAGCAATTATGTGCGTGAACATAAATACAGTATATTCATGATGCACTGCAAGTCATGCTCAGTAAGCTTTGAAAATATTTTAAAGTTTGGAAGACGAGAATAAGAAAAAAATAAATTACTGCGTATCTATATATCTTTGTGTATCTTCTACATTGCGAACTCGAATTGAAGAAAAATTTTCACGATTTATCTGTCCATAAAATACCAAAATGATATAGCACTTTTAAATAGAGAACTATAGAAATAGATTATTATAGAACTATAGAAATAGATTATTAACTTTATATATCATATTTCATTAAAAACAATCTTTATCTCATGGAATAATATTTATATGAGCAAAACACGCAATATTACAATATGTGTTAATATAACTAGTGAAGATATTTACATGTCTGTGTACTCGCTTCACGACTATTGATTAAAAATTGTTGAGATTAACGTGATGATTATTGCATCGCCAACAATACTGATAGGTAAGATCCCGAAGCATTCATAATCTACAAAAATTTTGCATTAGAAATTGATATTTAAATAAAACATTGCTATGACGAATATAATATTTATATAACAAAGAGATGCATTGATAAAAAAGAATTTTGTCTAGTAAATAGTAAATATATATATACATACTACTAGACAAAATTGTATATATATATATATATATATATATATATATATTTTTTTGTTCAATAAAGATAGAGTTAACTATCAAAAACTTTCTATTCTGCTTAAATCTTACACTTGTAAAGGATTCTAAGGTGAGATCCATTATCTTGCCAGCTGTTAGCGTCAATTGTTTTTGTGATCTTAATATTATGAATAACAAAATGCGACTGTCTTTAGATTTCAAATTGTACCATGCACAATTATACGTTGCAAATCCGATCTCTTTGCTCTATGGAAGTAAAAATAACAAAGAGACTTTGTAATGTTACTTTAATAATAAAATTTAATTCTATGCCTTGTTTTATAAAAAAATATATACATAAAATTATCTACAATGTCAATAAAAATTTCTTTTATTGTTATAATAATTACTTTTAACATCACTGACCTTACTATTTAAATATTCTCCGGCGTAACAAAATATGAATGCTTCCAGATTTGTTGACATGAAAAACAAAAGACATTTTATCATTTCCTCCACAACATCGTCAGTACCAAGAGCCTGAGAAAATAAAAAGGATATAATAGCATTATGCGTTATTTAATGCTGAAACAAGCATATTTTTACAGAATATAAAAATTTCTGTCCTCAGTGTGACTATTGTGCTTACGATTACAATAAGAAAACCCAGCGAGCATATTAATATTGTGTTTGACGCGAATATCAATAACGCAATGTACGTATACAAACTCTCGATACTGTCTGAAATTTGAATAATTTTTTGATGCTTTAAAATAATCTTGTTTATCATGATAACGACTGATTTTTGCTCATTTTCGATTTCTTTAGGAATAAATTCTGCCAACCAACGTTGCAAAACATCCATTTGACCACTTACATGTACAATCTAAAATAAAAGATTTGATTTTTAATTAAAATTTTTTAGCTACATGTAAAAATAATTAAAAATCAATAATTTATGACGAAGAATAAAACAAAATATCAACAATTTATAAATATAATTTCTAAATATATATTTAACAAAATATCTTATACAGATAATATATTTCATGGAATTAGTTTTTAATTTTAAAGAGTTATGTTTTTATAATATGTTATTAAAGAGCAAAGTTTTAATATAGATACATTGTTATACGAAAAAGACACAAAATTTCAAATTATTATAATTAAATATATATATTTTTAGTTATAATCACTTGTGCAGTTATAACTTACCATAGCTAAAAATATAATATTTATAACACCAGATGCCCAATTTGAAAGAATCATGTGTATAAATTCTATGATTAAAACTACTCTATACATTCGCTGCGTATTAACGTTGAAGGGAAGCTCTAATTTGTTGATAAGTGGCAACTCGATTTTATCTGTAATATCGACATCAGCGATGATAGTTCCTATGCAATAAGCAGCAACCGTCACCGTGTGAAGGATGAATATTATATTAGTGATACGATCCGATATTTTTGCCTTGTCTGTCATTACGCGCATGCCGATGTCATTTTTAGCGCAATCACTCCAGTCGTCCGTGATTAACGTCAAAGTTTCCACGAATTTTCTGTGGATGATTGTTCCTCGATCACGCTGTCGAATTTAAATAAAAGTCCTATTCATCGCGCCACAGTGAACCATACTTTTAAAAATATTTTATCTCCGAAATAATATTAACATCACTGTCTTTTTTCAGTGGAATTTTTTTCTTACATATTTCTGTAATTTTCATAGTTTTTCCAGAATCAAATAATAATAAAAAATTAAATACGTGCATAGAGATAATTATAAAAAAGGCTATGTAATTTGTTAGTATAATCAATACTATGGCTTTTGATCTTAATAATTGCATATATCTTAATTAATATGTATACATCAATAATGAAATTATAAATAATAATGAAAAATTCGTCATTTAAATAACATTACATACTCGCTTTACTTACCTCTGATTTATCCAAAACGCAATGAGTTTAGTTATTTTCGCGTGCGCTAAGAAGCTGCATAAGCAATCTACCAAATTAAAAAAATTTTGCGCATTTAAATGCGCCGAAAAATAGAGATAATGACAGAATTCAATAAATCCTAATGTAATAATCCAAAATAATCTGCTGATTAAAATAATTATTCCGTCTGAACCGATACCACACCAAGGAAGCATACGAAATACTATGCGGTTAATTGTGCTTTTACGAGTCATAACCTTTTATTTCTTTTTGCACTCGGTTTGTTCAAGCAAACGCATTAAAAAATATTTAATAGAGTGAATAAGAATTGTTAAAGGGGAATTTTTAAGAAAATTTAAGAATTTAGAAATATATCTCCTAATGACAGAACAATGTAAATCATTGGACACTCTGCGTAAAGACTGATGGGTTGTGGGTGGTGCACTCTTGGCAAATCGACCAATGAAAATTGCTCATGAAATATTTTTATTGTGCGTGCAAGTCTTAAATACATCCGTCATGTTTCTTTGAAACTTTGTGGAAAAAAATGTGAATAAATAAGATATCTTCGATATTCTGATACTGACAATGCAGCCATGAAGTGCATACGTTAAATATGTAATGAGACATATGGAGAGCTACACGTATCGTCCGTCCTACAAGAGAATGTCGTCAATTTTTGTCCATCACGACATTACAGCTTTTCCTAGAAATCGTCTACTGGCTAATAAATGGACGATAATGTTTTATAAGAAACAATTGGTGGTAGTGCTGATGCGTTGGCGATGTAACTATTGATTTTATTGCTTAGTATTGTATCGCATTAATTCGCGATAGTAACGTCACGCAGCAAATGCTGATTTTTGAAATACACATTTAATAATTACACTATCTTTTATAAAATTGCATATAATTCTAATTATTTTTCTCTACTACACAAAAAATTTTTGTGTAATACAGATAAATCTCAATCAAGAAAAATTTTTTTCTATTAAATAATATTGATGTGTGCATATTGTTATATTTAATATATATTTAACGTGCAAATGGAAATTCTTTTACAGAGGGTAATAAAATATTTTATCTCTAAATTGTGCAAGGAATAAATCCATGATTTTTAATTAATATAAAATCTGACTACGTTATATAATGTATTGTAATTTAAGAAAAGACGCGAATTAGATTATTGTACTAAATTTATATTTCGGGAAATATACTATATTACAATGTGAATTCCTAGAATTACTAATATACAAATAATTCTCCAGGTAGTAAACTAATGTTACTTATTATAATGTCATGATTTTGATGTTAAAATGACATCTTTAATGTCTTTTTATTTGAGTCATAATACATTTTTGTTAAAGAAGAAATCGATGCTCTAATTTATTACATTGCCAATAATACCGATAAATATGATCCCGAAGCATTCATAATCTAGAAGAATATTGTATTTTGGTATTAGACAATATTTTGTTTTTAGTATTAAAAAATATTTTTTATCGCAAAGACGAAATTTTTATAATATAAATCTTATAGTTAAACAAAATTTATAGTATAAATATAAATCTTACACTTGTAAAAGATTGTAAGGATAGTTCCATCATCTTTCCAGCTGTAAGCGTCAATGGCTTTTGTGATCTCAGTATAACAAATAACAGGACACGACTATCTTTAGATTTCATATCGTACCATGCAGAACTGTATGCCGCAAAACCAATTTCCTTACTCTATAAAAATTGAAATAATAGAAAAATTTTTAATGTCTAGAGAGTATTCTTTATAACAGCTTTTTTAATTAAATACAATAAATTGTTATTTATTAACATTCTACTGTAAATATTAATATATTTAAATAAATTTTATTCCTAACCTTGTTTTTCAAATATTCTCCAGCATAGCAAAACATATATGCTTCGAGATTCGTTATAATGTAAAATAAAAAGGATTTTATTAATTGCTCTGACGCGTTGGAGCTGCCGATTGCCTGTGACATTGTACAACAATATGGTATGAGAAAAATTATTAAATATAAACTAATATAACACTAGTAATGTACAAATATATTATTAAATATGTAATAAATAATAAATAATATATTTAATTATTACATTTTATTACAACGTATATTTTAAGTAAATGTGTAATTAATAAAAACTTAAATAAATAAAATAAATTTAAATATTAATAAGTAAGTTAATATTTAATGTTATGTTATTTGCAATTATATTCTGAAACACTACAAGTTTATATTTAATAATCTTACTAACCGTTACAACAAGGAACGCTAGCAAACAAATCATTACCGAGTTTGACACAAATAGCACCAGAGCAATATACGTAAAAAGACTTTCGATATATTCCGATAAACGTATAATCTTTTTATGCTTATAAATAATTTTAGTTGTTGCGATGGAGATTGATTCATCTTTGCTTTCATCTTTGGAGGATACAAGATGCGTTAGCCAGTAACGCATAATATCGATTTGGCCAGCTATATGAAAGGTCTGAAAATAAAGATTCCATTGTCTATGGAATTAATCAGAATCCGTAACTAGTTGTTCAAACTGCAAAAATGGACATTGTACAGAATAATATTATCAAAATCCACGGAAATAGTAATTTAGATAAAGTTTATCCAGTAGATAAGTTTATTCCAATTTTTGTATTTGTCATGTGCATCATGCTTTTAAATGGTAAATATTATACAATATAGTTACAAATTAAAAAATTAAAAAATTGTTTAAGTAATTATAATTGTTAAAATTAAAAATTGTTTTATTTAAAATTGTATTTATATTTTCGCGATCTTGAATATCATTTGCACATCCACAACTTACTAAAATTATTAATAAAGAATTTATTGCACCAGATGACCAGGACCACATCATCAAGAAAAAGAATTCTGTTATTAAAATACATCTATATGTGCGTTGCGTATTTATATCAAACGGAACTTCTATCTTAGTAAAGAAGCGTAACTCCGTGGTCGTATTATCGGTGACGTCGACATTGGCCAGGATGACACCAATACCATGGCCAGAAACTGTCATTGTATGAAGAATGAGAATTAAGTTTGTAATACGTTCCGATGTTTTTGCTTTGCTTGCTGTCTCACGCAAGCTGATATCGTTATTAACGCAATCACTCAAATCCTCTTGCATTATTGTCAAGACTTCGATGAATTTTCTATGAATGGTGATGTTCACCGATCATATTGTCGATCTTAAAGCAAACTTAATTTTCGTGCTGTGACCACATGTTTTAGATATTTAATATTCCTGAATGTAATATATGTAAACCAAAATTTCTCACGTATTCCAATCAGCAAAATTTGATGGAACACATTTATAAATTTTTTTTTTTAATTTTGCATACATATGTTACTTACCGCTGATTCAACCAAAACACAAGACACTTAAAAAGCATTTTGGAATGTGCCATAACAACAGGCAGGATGTCCATGAATTCCCAAAGTGTAGCCGAATGCATATGTATCATAAAATAACGATAGTGACAGCACTGAATAATTATCACTGAAACGACGAATAATGTTCTCGAAAATAAAACACATGATGCGCCTGGCCAAACACCGCTCAAAGTGAGTATAAATTTTGCTGTGCGATTAAGCGGATTCTGATGATTCATAATTTTCTATATGAAAAAAACGATTTTGTTAAAACATATAAAAATTTAGTTAGATATATACAAATCTGAAAATAATTATGTAGGAAAAACTTGTGTATAATGAACAATATTGCAAAGAAACTTTGATATTCTGACGAAAAGCTTCAATATCCTACATAATTATTTTGATAGTTCAATAAAATTATTTTCAAATGTGTATTGAGCTAAATTTTTATATACTTTAATACTGTTCTTTCCGTATAGCTCTTTTTATTCTTGCCCGTATGAATAAGTTTGTCAAAATATATGATAAATAACAGAATGAAAATCTTCGGTAAGACAAAAGAAATATGCTTCAACCAAGTGTATCTATCTTTGATGGACTGTTCAGTGAAATATAATTTACGTTTTGATGGAAACTATACATCACAGAATATCATACATATCTGCTCGAGACTAAGAAGTAGAAAAAAAATCTAAAACATCATTAAACAGCTATATCCCTCAACGCAACTGAACAAAATGTATTCATTAAATATTTTTATCTTACTGTCAGCACAGATCGCAAATATATTTGTCGTATTTTTTTTCTCAAATTTGTTGCAAGATAAAAAAAAATAAAGAGTCATTTTTTCGCGATAATATAACTGCGAATTGTCTACTTTAAATATGCAATGATTCGTACGGTAGATAAATTGACTATGTATAGTCTATAGTCAGTCAGTTTGCGGACTTTCAGGAAAATTTCGAAATCTAGAGACTAAAAATTGGAAGGAAAGAGAATTCCTACGAGAACGAAATGTTATTTGTAATAATGAAAAGTGTTTATAATAATTTATGTGTTATTAGCAATATTCATGTTTTAGCAATATGATAATAATATTACAAATATTACACGGATTTCTAATTAGGAATATAAAAATATATGTGAAAAATTCATCACAATGTAAATAAATCGAAACTATTTGTTACAAAAGATATACATAATTATAATGTCTGGCACGTATAAAAATTACGTATACAAAAGTGAAAATTTATAGTTAATCAAATAAACAAAATATATCTTATTAATTACTTAAAATTTATTATAAATTATATACAAGTATAAAAAATATATTGTTTTAATATCGAGATAAAATGTTTTTAGATAAATCTTACAAGTATATAAAAACGTATTGTTATTTTGATGTGTATATAATATATTTGTTATTGTTTTTCGTGAATTTCATTGAATGAGAGGAGAAAAAAAGAAGGATCATTTCTTCCTCTCTTGAGCACTAATCTAATAATAATATACCGCAAATTATTTGTTCTAAATATACAATGATTCATATTTTACGTTTATGTCTATTACTCTGTTAACATGTAGTTTTTCTTCATAGACCTTAGCAATAAACTAAACTAAATTAAATTAAATTAAATTAAATTAAAAATTTATGCGTAGGCAGATATGACAATAATGTCTGATGGCCAATCGTGATCAATGACCTCTCAGAATAAAAAATTCTAAAATTTATAGAGGGGAAAGAATCAACAGAAATAAAAATTATAAAGTGCAACGCTACGAAACTTTTACATTATTTTACTTGTTAAAATTCAAGCAAATAATAAATTTTATTTTTTACATAGTAAACAGTGTTTACGATATTTCTTAACTATAGATGTAGACGATAAAACAAAAAAATAAGAAGCTTTATGATTATTTTGTATTATATGTGAAAAAATATGTTGTAGTACAATGTGCGTTTTTATAACTAGTGAATTAGGAATAATTTATATTTTCTATAATTACTTAAAAGTTATTGACCCTCGTTCATTGCATCGCCAACAGCATTGATAAATATGAACCCGAAGCATTCATGATCTAAAATATGTTAATGTTATCTGTTGCCACTGTTTTGGAAATTAATATTTTTAATTACAATAAATATTCTAATACTATATGTTTATATATAATAAGCAAGTACATATATGCTTCTTTTGTCATGTATTTTTCTTTTCGTGTTTAAAGATAAAAAGTTTACATATAAATCTTACGCTTGTAAAAGCTTGCAAAGACAGATCCATCATCTTTCCTACCGTGAGTGTCAATTGTTTTTGCGATCTCAATATGATAAATAACAAGATTCGACTTTCAGTAGATTTCAAATCGTACCATTCACAGTTGTACGCCGCGACCCCAATTTCTTTACTCTATGAAAATGGAAATAATAAAATTTTTAATATTCATAGTATTCTTTATGATACTTTGCAAGATAGAAAATAATTATATATTTTTATTATTGTTATAAATTAACCTTGTTGTTCAAATATTCTCCAGCATAACAAAATATAAATGCTTCGAGATTTGTTATAGTGTAGAATAGAAGTGATTTCATTATTTGTTCTACCGCGTTAGGACTTCCAATTGCCTGAAAAATTGTAAAAATAATATGAGAAGTTATTAAAAATACAAATAATATAAAACAAAATAATATAAAATATAAATTAAACATAACAAAGAAAATGAAAACGTATGAATATACCATATAAATAATGCTATGCAATATAAAAAATAAATCATTAAACAATGTTATATTATTGTCAATTACAATTGGACGAATTACAATAGTTTTGTATTTAATGGTGTTACTCACTGTTACGATAACAAAACCAA